TTTTTCTTCATAGAACCCAGCTTCTCGGATTATTTGCTCAGCATGAAGGTTGAATACGTTTGGTGAAAGAATACAATCTTGTAGTACACTTTTCTTTTTGTTTTTGTTTTTTTTAAGTGTCAGAATTTAAATTTTATTTCGCATTGATAGAAATCTTGAAAAAGATTTATATTTTCCCATGTTACAGCACAATATTTCAATACAATAAAGCATTTACCATAAAGATTTTTCTGATTTGTATAACTAAAGGATTTATATTCTTCAGAGTAAAGGAAAATTTGTTCATAAATGATTGTACATAATTGCAAAATCCAGATATACATATGGCTTCATTAATAACTTTCTACATAGTGTATCACTAAATTATTTCCATTATCAATTAGCACCCATTTATAAAGATGCATTCCTGATACTGTTCTGATCAGCAGAAAAATTAACAGTTCAAAATAACAAGCATACATTTCTGTTATATATTAAACTGTCTAATAACTACAACATATGTATAGGGTTTTAACTAAACTTTATTGTCCATTAAATGTTTTCAAATAATTTGTATCAGCCATCTGAAATTATTGACTAAAGTAAGTTTCAAGTTAGTTCATTGGCAGATAGAAATAAAGTACATTTTTCTTAAAAATTACTAATTTTCTATAGTAATTGATTTCAGACATATTCACAAAATAAATAAACTCTGTGCTACAAGACCCATCTTAGACCAAATCATCTAAGAGTGAAATAATAAGTATTTTATAACATATAATAGTTTATGACCTAATTCTTCCACATGATTATAAAAAACAAAACCTACAGAATTAGTCCTGTAACATGGATTGAAAATTCACATGGATTTCCAACTAAATAGGTCTAAATTTTGACTAAGGTACAGTTTCAGAAATAAGTACTTCAGAGGTTTTAAGTGATGTCTCATTTCTTTATATAATTATAAATGCATTTAAAATACCAAATGTCTGTGATTTAGAATGTCAAATTACAGCAGATATCTATGGCAGAGAGGCAATATTTGGTCTGTTATAAAGGATGATACAGGAAGAATACATTTGTTTTCTGAAGAGGAAAATGAATATTAAACAAAAGATAAAAAAAATAAATAAATAAATAAATAAAGTCTATTCCCCAAAATAAAAGGGCCAGTAATTGAGAAGAACTCAATTTCGTTGACATGTAAAAGCATTATTTCTACTATTAGAAATAATGTAATACCATCTCATTCTTATTTTGTATTACAATCATTGTGTATATATATATATATATATATATATATATATAGAGAGAGAGAGAGAGAGAGAGAGAGAGAGAGACTGTATGGTGACTAAGCAATTTTGAAATAAATCCATAGTGTAAGCCACAGCATGCATAACTCGTTTATAACTGTTCATTTATACATGAACACATTTTCAGTAATCACACTAATAAATTTCAAATAATGTAATAAAAATCTTGTCATGATCCACACAATCGAAGTATGAGTATTCCAGAACACTTAATTATACTTATGAGGAACCTGGACCTGGACCAAGAGGCAGTTGTTTGAACAGAGCATGGGAACACTGAATGTTTTAAAATTGGGAAAGGTGTGAGACAAGGTTGTATTCTTTCACCATACTTACTCAACCTGTATGCTGAGCAAATAATCCGAGAAGCTGGGTTCTATGAAGAAAAACATGGCGTCAGGATTGGAGGAAGACTCATTAACAACCTGCGATATGCACATGATACAACCTTGCTTGCTGAAAGTGAAGAGGACTTAAAACATTTACTGATGAAGAGCAAAGAACACAGCCTTCGGTATGGATTACATCTCAATGTCAAGAAAACAAAAATCGTCACCACTGGACCAATAAACAACGTTCTTATCAAAGGAGAAAAAATTGAAGTTGTCAAGGACTTCATTCTTTTTGGATCAACTATCAACACTCACAGAAGCAGCAGTCAAGAGATCAGACGATGTATTGCATTGGGCAAATCTGCTGCACAGAAACTTTTTAAAGTGTTGAAGAGCAGAGATGTCAGCTTGAGGACTAAGGTATGCCTGACCCAAGCCATGGTATTTTCAATAACCTCATATGGATGCGAAAGCTGGACAGTGAATAAGGAAGATCGTAGAAGAATTGATGCCTTTAAGTTGTGGTGTTGGAGGAGAATACTAAAAGTGCCATGGACTGCCAAAAGAACCAATAGATCAGTTTTGGAATAAGTGCAGCCAGAGTGCTCCTTTGAGGCCAAGATGGCTAAACTTCATCTCTCCTACTTTGGACATATTGTCAAGAGGGAACAGTTGTTGGAGAAGGATGTCATGCTAGGTAAGATGGAGGGTCAGAGAAAAAGAGGAAGACCCCCAACGAGATGGATTGGCCAGGTGGCAGCATTGATGGACTCAAATGTGGCAGAGGTAGTGAGGTTGGCCCAGGATCGGACATTGTTTTGTTCTGCTGTGCATGGGGTTGCTATGGATCGGTTCCAACTTGATGGCACCTGACAACAATGACAACAACAATAAAAATCTAGTTACAGTATTTATTGTTTTACTGAATTACTTTTGAGAAAAACATGCTAGGTGTTTAACCTATGTAATACTAGTATATTCTGAATCATAATATACAAACACATCTAGAAACTGAAAAGATTGAAAGTTTTTTATGAAAAAACAATATTTAGTCTGTCATTGGCGTGTATTTGTAGAACATTTTAACACTGCAAACATGAGAATTTCAGAATTGGGCAGGCACATAAACAGTTTCTACTCTATATGACGCGGGTGTACTTCCACACAAGGCCTCTTAGCAGCAGGCATCAGTCCACAGGAGGTAGGAGCTTATCAATGAACTGCTTGACACCCATCATTTCCTGTTTACACGAACGATGCACCATGCCTTCATAGGTCTTAAAGGTTACATTGGCTGGATTTACTAACGTTTTTAGTATTTTCACAGTAAGAGACCCAAACATTAGGGGAACTAAAGGGTCGCAATCTCCATGGCACTGGAGAATAGAAATAGCTTTATTAACTCTATTGATAGGACCCTGTGGAAATGAGGACCTCAGTGGAAGCCAGCAACTGAGCCTGATGACACCTGCTAATTTTTGTCCTGTGATAAGAGCAGTATATAAAGACAGAGTTCCTCCCTGAGAAAATCCTCCCAAAATAATTCTGTTAGAAGGAATTCCGTTCTTCACCTCTTGATCTATCACAGCGTTGACGTTTTCTGCTGCTTCTTTGATTCCATTATCATCCTTCTGTGAATCTGGTGAAAGTCTAATAATATCAAAATAAGAAGGCACAGTCATTTTTATATTTAACATAACAGGTGTAACTGGTGCGTGTAGGCACAGGCATCATTCACAGATGATGCAATGCTTTTTCAGAAGTTCAGCCTCTTTATATATATATATATCTTCAGCAAGGTCACTTTCTTGATTTCAAACTCAACTATTTATTTTTTAATATTTTACGTGGCATGTCTGTGCACTTGGAATAGGAATGGCAAGCTAGTTTGACGAGCAATCTCAGTGCTGATGCTTTTCCCTGAGCTTCCTATACTTCATGACCATATCTGAGTACTAAGTCTGTCTCCCATAACTTAATTAGAGCTCATAAAAATAATTTCTAACAAGGATGAGCATTTACTACATATGCCAAGCATTGAGCTTGACACATTATCTATTCATTTAATCCTCGCAACAGCGCTTTAAGGTAGATTCTAATATTGCATATATATTCTAGCCTGTTGCATCAAGTTGATTCTGACTCATGGCGACTCCATATGTAACTGGTGACAAGAATTTCAGAATTCACTTGATCCATGGTGGCACCTAAGAGCATTACAACTACCTTTGAGTAAAACTAACCAGTAATGCTCATCTAAAAGGTGTCTTCACCAAAGTCAGGCGGGATTACTTATTGTGCTTCATGGATATATTTGAGAGGGGGAAATATTTGCCATCACAGAGCCAAGCTTCTCCATTTCCTTGTTATATTGACAATCACCACAAATAAAGCTGGTGCTATGTTTCCCTAAGATCCTACTTAATTGGAACCCACTGCGAACCACAAGGCAACAATTTAAACCCACCATCTGCTCCTCAGAAACCATATAATATATATGGTCACTATATGTCAGAACCGACTCGACAGCACTTAACAATAACTAGATATCACTTTGACAAACAACCTCTTCAACTGAAGGATCATAAAAAAGAACTGAAAGCCCATAGAATTGTACAACACAGAATAAACTCTACTATAAACTATGGACTTTTAGTTAATAACAATTGTATCAACATTGGTTCATAAATTGTAACAAATGTACTATACTAATTTGTCAGTAAATAATAAGGGAAACTGTATGTTGAAATGTGGCTGGAGAGGGACACATGAGAATTCTCTATACTTTCCGTGCAATTTTTCTGTAAACTTAAAACTGCTCTAAAAATCAAGTGTATCAAAGTAAAAAAAAATCTTAGTAGAGAGTGACAAAAAAAGAAAGCCTACAATTCCCTGTTCCCTGGTCTATTTTGCCAGTGTAGGCAATCAACTCAGACAGACTGATGCTTTCAAGTGGACTATAAAAGGTCAGAGTCATTTGCTTTGCTTCTGTTAACATTAGATGCTCACAATTTCAGCAGAGTACATGCAGATCTTCTCTTAATATTCAGTAGTCCCAAGCCTAATAACCTTTCTCATAACTGTCAATTCCTCAGACCCTACAATCCCAAAAAGGACATTTGGGTTTGCCGTACAGGAGCCAAAGAGGCTATAATACAGCTCAAAAAAGTACTCAGCCAAATTGGTATAACCTCTCTACCTGAAAAGGAGTTTGTATGAATTAGATGAGCCAAGTTTCTCTCCAGCTGTTCACTAAATGGTCCCCTTGTAGGCTCACTGCATGTTTTTGCTACCCTATGTATCTAATTTATTACTAAACAGACACTAGGGAAAATTGGAGTCTAGCGTTTCTGAAGCCCCCTAAAGGAGAGAAGCCTTATAGAAGGATGCTATATGAGTAAGGTCTTTAAAATCACACTAGCTATTTCGGAAAAATCTCAAAGGTATTTGTAATTTTGCCTGTAGTTCCTCCTGATTCCAAAAGCTTGAATTACAAGCATGATTATAAAGCCTTTCTTAATATCCAGCTGTTAAATATTTTATTTGGCTTCCTTGGCTTTTGTTAATTCACTTTGGTTTCTCTGAGTTTCAGTGGCCTCAAAAATGTAACATAACTGAACTTACTCAGACCTCTGTCTTTGGTTGCATTTGGCTGCCTAGGAAATGAGGTTCTTCTCAAAACTAAGGTCTGAAAGTGTTTTTCTATTCTGCTATCATGCAACCAAAATGTGATGGCATTCTTTTTAAAAGCTTTGTAAATAATAGAAATTATTTCAAATTAACAGTTTCCAAAGAAACAAGGGCATGCTCCCCTTTTTACTTTCCTTTTAAAAAGTGAGTTCATTTTTATAGGTAATTTTCACTAAATCAGTGTTTAATTCTAAATTGTTAGTTGTTTCTCAAGTTATCACATAGGGAAAACCTTGTCCATTTTCCTACTCACAACACAGACCCTCCAAATCTCCCTCTGTCCCCTCCTCAACTTGATCCATGGAAACCAAAACAGTTATCCCTCTTTTTAAAGCAGTCTTTGCTCAGAGTCTTTTATGAATCCTAAATAGAGATCTTTGTTATCTGAACTACAAACCCAAAATGTTTGAAAGGGAAGAGTGGAGAAAAAAAATTAATCTATATACTATTAGTGGTAAGACTGTAAGTACAGGTGGATCATAAATATAGAGGGGATATAGAAGCATGAAGTGCCTGGCATACAAGTGTGTGTGTGGGGGGGGGGGGGGGAGGTGGAATCCCCACAGAATAGTTTTCATCTTGTCTAGATGGGTATGGTGAAAAGAGAAGGGGATAGGATTTTTTTTATATATATCCAATAATGAGTAATTGTTATCATGACTAATTGCGATTGTCACAACTGTAAAGGTGGAAGTTGTGTAACAAAAAGGGGGAGTAGTTAATTTTACATTCCAGGATCAGAGGACTCTAAGACAATCAAGGGAGAAGAGCATGAGCAGAACTTGGGACCCTAACCAGAGAAGCAGCGACACCAGAGACAGAGGTGGGGTGATGACATGAAGAGATAGAGCTGCTGAGGTCTCTAGACTCATGGAAAGAGAAAAGTTGTGTGCTGGCGGGCAGGAGGCTGGCTTGCAAAATGTGTCTTTTGGGTGTTTAAATTATTGTAAATTTCTGCGTGTTTTTGCGTACATCAAGGGAGAAAGGGGATAGAATAGAGGCAAATTCTGTTGGTCAATTGTGCATGGAAGGGATTGTAATCATTGCAATGAACGAAAGTGTAATTAGTTAAGTACATCGGTTTTCTGAAATGTAAACTATCACTTAATTCATAATAAAACATTTAAAAAAGAGAAAGAAAGAATGAGAGAAAGGAAGGAAGGAAGGAAGGAAAGAAGAGAGGGAGGGAGGGAGGGAAGGAGGGAGGAAGAAGGAAACTTCATACTTGTGGCTAAGGCTCAAAATGACAATGACAGCCTTGACGTCATCTTATCAGTTCCACCACTTTCCCTCACCTCTGACTTGCTTTAATTTCTAATTGCTAAAACTATTAAGAGTCAGAAGTTGCAATCAGGAAATTCTCTGCATAAAACACCAACATAATATATGTTCAAAGCTTACTGTAAGTGCTCAAACTTGAAAACTTTCCAGAGTGTGTCTTCTTATCTACTCTGCCCAGTGTCCCAGGCTCTTGTTGTTATTACAGTACCATTGAGTTGAAGCAGCTGGTGGGTCTGAACTGCCAACCTTGCAGTCAGCCATCCAGCGCTTATCCTATAGTGCCTCATGCAGAAATATTGCACCCTGTGATAACTGTTATCAGCATTTTATATGGGCAACTCATAAAAAATGGTTATTCATGTATGCTGCCCTGTGGATGTATTAACTTTCACCCCTGTCTCTCCCCAATATTTTAGGCCAAAGTTTCATAAATCCATAGTTTGTTTTCCTAGTAAATGTAAAATACTCATAATACAGCAACATACAAGGATATTTATAATATTAGAATAATGATGAGTAACATTCTACATCCAGACACTGTGCCAGCCATTTTGCTTGCAGAATCTTAATTGTTAAAACAACTTTGAGAGCTAAGGACTATTACTATTATTGTATCTATTTTACAGATGAGAAAACTGTAGCACACAGAGATATAGGAACCTGGACACTGTACTCAGCTAATAAATAGCAGGAACTTTGACATCTGTGGATTGTGTTCCTAAAGTCTTCACTCCCTGGGATATTGTTGTTAAGTGCTGTCAAGTCAATTCCAACTCAAAGCGACCCTATATAGGAGTTCCAAGGAGCAGCTGGCGGATTTGAACTACCAACCTTGCAGTTAGCAGTCCAGCACTTATCCTACAGTGCCATACCAGGATACCAACTCCAAAACCCTTTATGTAATTTCCAGAGCCCTTGAATAAGTAGAGAGCCCTAGTGGCACAGTGGCTAAAGCACTTGGGTGCTAACTGAAAGGTCAGTAGTTTGAACCCACCAGCCACTCTGTGAGAGAAAGGTGGGACGTTCTACTTCCATAAAGATTTATAATATTGGAAACTGTATGGAGCAGTTCTGCCCTGTCCTAAAGGGTTGCTGATTCAAAATCAACTTAATGACAGTGGCTTATGGGGTTTGGGTTTAACCAACTGCTAAACAGACAATTTCCTCTTTAATCAAGTAAATCATCCACACTCTGGAAAACAGTATTTCTTCAATTTAGATCTTTTATTCTCCACTATTCTCTCGCCTTCATTGTTTTCAAGTCCCAACTCAGCTACCTTAGTTTCCTAATATTGCCAGAACAGAAATACCTTAAGTGTGTGACTTTAAAGAAAGGAAACTTTTTTTTTTCACAGTTCGAAAGGTTTATAGTCTAAATCAAGGTCTGATTGATTGTTCAGTTATTTTCTTTTTGGTAGTCCTAGAAGTTCCTTGGTTCTTTGCCTTGTAGATAATCTCAAACGGAATCTGTCTTCTTCCTCTATGTGAAAATATCTATGTCTAATCTACTCTTTTATAACTCAAAAGTAACTAGATTTAGAACTCATCATACTTGAGTATGGTTCCTCTAACATAACAAAGAAAAACCTATTTACAATTTGGATTATATCCAAAGGTATTATATTCCAACACATATTTTAAGGGACACAACTCAATCCATTATATCCTAGGAACCTAACCAACCTCATTTTCATTAGTCAACCCAGGAAATTTATAAAGAAACTTGCTGTTGCTGTTTTTATGTGCTTTCAATTCAATTCTAACTCATAGCGACCCTGTATAGGGTTTCAGAGGCTGTGAATTTTGGCATAGTCAGTAAAGCCCAAGTAAACATCTTTCTGCTATTCTCTGTTTTCAACCAAGGTCCATCTGACATCTGCAATGATACCCCTAGTTCCATGTCTTCTTCTGAATCCTTGAAATTCTGGCAGTTCTTTGTCAAGGTACTGTTGCAACCATTCTGAATTATCTTCAGCAAAATTTTATTTGCAAGTGATATTAATGATATTGTCCAATATTTTCTGCGTTTTGTTGGGTCACCTCTCTTTAGAATGGGCACTAATATGGATCCGTTATAATCAGTTGGCCAGGAAGCTGTCTTCCAAATTTCTTGGCATAGGTGAAGAAGTGCCTCCAGTGCTGCATCAGTTTGTTGAAAGATTTCAATTTGTATTCCTTCAATTCCTGGAGCCTTGTTTTAGGCCTATGCCTTCAATGCAGCTTGGACTTCTTCCTTCAGTATTATTGGCTCTTGATCATATGCTACCTCTTGAAATGGTTGAACATCAACCATTTCTTTTTGGTACAGTGACTCTTTGTATATCTTCCATCTTCTTTTAATGCTTTCTGCATCATTAATATTTTCCCATAGAATCCTTTAATGTTGCAATTCAAGGCTTGGATTTTTTTTTCTTCAGTTTCCTCAATATAAGAAATGTTTAGAGTATTCTTCCCCTTTGGTTTTCTAACTCCAGGTCTTTGCAAATTTCATTATAATACTTCACATTTTGTTCTCTAGCTGAACTTTTTAATTTTCTGCTCAACTCTTTGACTTCCTAATTTCTTCCATTCACTTTAGCATCTGTGCTGGAGAGCCAATTTTCAGTCTTTTCTGACATCTACTTTGGTCTTTTCTTTCTTTCTTGTCTTTTTCTTTTTTTTAAGTTTTTATTGTGAATTGAATGGTAGTTTACATGGGAGAACATCAGTTTTACACCATTGTTTCAACAATGATTACAATCTCATCCATGCATCATCATTCAACAGTCTTTGCTTCTATTCCCTCTGGGTTGTTTTGTTTTGTTTTTGCCTCATGGCCACCAGCACTCAGTCTTTCTCTTTCCATGAGTCTAGAGTCCTCAGCTGCTCCCTCTCTCTATGTCCTCGTCTCTGCCTCCATCTCTGATGTTGCTGCTTCTCTGGATAGGATCCCACATTCCACTCATGCTCTTCTCCCTTGATAGTCCTAGGGTCCTGTTTCTGGGCTGTAAAATTAACTACTTCCCTGTTTTGTTATAAATTTTCTACCTTTACAGTTGTGACAATCACAATTAGTCATGATAACAGTTACTCACTATTAAAACATAAGAATATTATCCCTATCTCTTTTCACCAGACCCATCTAGACAAGACGAAAACTATTTAGTGGGGACTGTACCTTCCCCTGCAATCTCTGAAACTAAACTCCCTCTTGAAAACTTGTAAGCCAGTCACTTCGTGCCTTTATTGCCCCTCATTTTAGGTAGTCACTGTCTAAGTTGCCCGCCCCTATCTACCCTGTATGCAGAGGGTATAGGATTGATACTTGATGTGAATACTCCTTCCCTCTCAGTTGGTATTTTGAGCTACTACATCCATAAGTATAGGTCAGTTCATCAAATTGTAGCAATTTATTCTTGTTTCCTTTATCAAAAGTTGTTTGTTTGTTTTTTATCTTCCTCTAGTTGAGTTCTGAACATCAAGCCATTGAGGCTAGGTCAAATGGGTACTATCTGCTAGTTTGGGCATTCTTATGTGTATTATATACTTATACATATAATATAATACTTCATATTAGCTAGATGCTTCACTCTCAGCTCTAGCCCTCAGCGACTATATCCTTGTACATGGGTTCAGGAGTCCCCAGGTCTCACCACACTTAGGACCAACCAGCCCTTCCTCTTCTCTCTCTCATCTTCTGGTCAATGGGAGTTTATGGAACATGGTTGAACTCAGTCCATTTCCTCATTGCTGCCTTTCCCCCTCATCCACTCACCAGTAGACCGATGTGATCACCAGCAAGCTTACATGCCTGCTCATGTGTTTCCTTTGAGTTTCAGTCTTGGAAGGGGATTTGTCTTGAAGGAACTTGCTTTTTTGCCTTGATGGCTCTTTGGCAAACAACTTACTTGTTCTTGTAGTAGCCAATCAGACTGCCATTTTTATTTTGGATTTTTCCTGCTGATCTTTCTTTCAAAAAGTAACTTCTGTTGTTCTAGCTGTTCCAGGTCTTTCTAATGACCTTTTACTTTCTTCCTGTATGATATCACCCCACAGCTCTTTAGAGATGGTCTCTAAATTCAGATGAGATCTTTTCAAGGTCATATTTTGATTCTGGTGGACTTGTTTTTGATTTTCTTCAGCTTCAGCCTGAACTTGCATATGAGAAATTGATGGTTGTTCCACAGTTAGCCCCTGGCCTTGTTTTGGCTGATGATACTCAGCTTTTCCACTGTCTGTTTCCACAAACGTGGTCAATTTGATTCTTGTGTAGTCCATCAGTTGAGGTCCATGTTGTTTTAGAAAGGTATTTGCAATGAATAAGTCATTGGTCTTGCAAAATTCTACCATGGTGAGGCTGCTCAAAATTCCAACCAAGTAGGGAAGGATTCTCCATAGCAAGGATAAAACATGTCTCCTTAGTACACTGGGCTTATAGGGATAGACAATTTGATTCCAGCTAACAAAATTTGGGTGGTTACAAAGGCATGAAGTGGCTGGCTTACAAAATTTCTTGAGATTGCTTAGTGTCAGAATGCGGGGAGTAAGACAGAAACCCAACTGAATCATTTCCTTCCTATACAGATGGGTCTGGTAATGAGGGTGATAAGACTTTATGATAGAATTGCGAGTAATTTTTTCAGCTCTAATGGCGATTGTCACAACTGCAAATGTAGAAGAGGTGCAACTAAAAGGGGGAGCAGTTAATCTGTTATCTCAAGAACAGGGGACCCTAGGACCATCAAGAGGGAAGAACATGAGAGGAGCAAGGGATCCTGACCAGAAAAGTGGCGACAACAGTGATGGTGATGGAGGCAATGGCATAAAGTGACAGAACAGCAGTAGACTTTAGGACCATGGGCTGAGAAAAACAGCATGCCTGCAAACAGGAGACTGGCTTGCAAAATGTACCCTTTGGACATTTAAACAAATATATATTAATAAGGTGGTATGTGTACACCAAAAACAAACAAACAAAAAGGTAATAGAGGTAAATGGAGGGTATTGTAATCATTACAATGGTCTGCTGGATGTAAAAATGGTGATCTGTCCTGTAAGCCTTCACTACTCAGTAAAAACACTTAAAAAAAAAAAATTCTATCATGGGATCTCCAGCATCATTTCTATCACCAAGGCCATATTTTCCAACCACTGATACTTCCTCTTTGTTTCCAACCTTTCCATTTCAATCACCAGTAGTTATCACTGCATCTTGATTGCAAGTTTGATCAATTTCAGAACGAAGGATTTGGTAGAATTCTTTAATTTCATCATCACTGTCTTTAGTCGTTGGTGTGTAAATTTGAATAACACTGGTATTAACTGGTTTTTCCTTATAGGCTTTTGGATATTATCCTATCACAGACAGCATTGTACTTCAAGATAGATCCTGAAATGCTCTTTTTGCCAATAAATGTAATGCCATTCCTCTTGGATTTGTCGTTCCCACATAGTAAACCATATTATTGTTTGATTCAAAATGGCCAATACCAGTCTATTTCAGCTCACTAATGCCTACATATCGATCTTTATGCCTTTAACTTTGTTTTTGACAACTTCCAATTGTCCTAGATTCATACTTCATACATTTCATGTTCTCATTATTAATGGATGTTTGCAAATGTTTCTCCTCATTTTGGGTTGTGTCCTATCAGCAAATTCAGGTCCAGAGAGCTTTACTCCATTTGTATCATCATGGTAAACTATGTTTTGAGAAGGAAATTATTTCCAAGTCATATTTTGAGTGCCTTCCAACCTGAAAGGCTCATCTTTGGGCACTATATCTAACAACATTCTGGTGCTATTCATAATGTTTTAATCTTTAAGCACTATGTCTGACTATGCTCTGATGATAGTCATAAGGTTTTCAGTGTCTAACCATTCAGAAGTACTCTACTTTTTTCTAGTCTGTTTTAGCCTGAAAGCTCCACTGAAACTCATCCACCATGGGTGGCCCTGCTGGTATTTAAAATAATCATGGCATAGCTTCCAGCATCACAGCAACATGCAAGCCACCACAACAAGACAAATTGACAGACAAACAGTGAAAAGAAACTTGGAAGAATTTAAATATCATTTATCACTACACATTGTTGTTGTTTTTAAGTGCCATCCAGTCAGTTCCAACTTATAGCAATCCTATATGGGGTTTCTAAGAGTGTCCAATGGGTTTGAATCACCAACCTTATAGTTAACTGTTCAGTGTTTATCCTACGGAGCCACACCAGGACTCCAGTAACTACATAATACAGTTCACAGAGCTGGTGTTGCAGAGGCCGAGGAGGACTTTAAAAACGTGTTCACTAGACAGATATTTACTAGGATCCTGCTATGTGTAAAACATGATTTCAGGCTTTGGAAGTTAAAAGGAAGCAGTTCTTGCCCTTGGGGGTTTGTTTCCTGGTTGGAAAGACAATAAACAAAATACACAGGAAAAAATTCTCACTATGTAAGTTGGAAATGAGAGTTAAGGAAAAGAATACAACAGGGAAAGGGAAAAAGGAATGTGTGAGGGCTACTGTTTTTAATAGGTAGACTTCACTGAGAAAATTATGCTTGGCACAATTCATGTAAAAATCTGAATTGATGCATCTAACATTCACTTCTATGCAGTTGTTAATTGAGTACCAAATCTGTGAACCTGGGTGGAGGATGGATGTGGAAAAAAACACTTTTAAACAACTTTGATTCTTTAATGTACACAAACCCTCATACTTAGTAACAATATTTAGGGTGTCTTCACCATATTTTCCTCTATATCTAGAGTATTTGAGATCCCCAGTATAGTGCTGTAAGATAAGCATTGTACTGCTAAACACGAAGTCTGTGATTCAAAGGAAACCCTATAAGGGGTTGCTATGAGTTGGAACCGACTTGACAGCACTTAACAACAATAGCACAGCCTCAGGGTGCAGTGGTGGTTCTGTGATTGGATTCTTACCTTCCATTCCGGAGGCCTGAGTTCAATTCCCAGTCAATGAGCCTCATTTGCAGTCGTCACCCAGTAGAGGCGTGATGAATAGATTTCAGAAGAGCTTCCAGAAGAAATTTAATCTGCTTCTGAAAATTATCCAATGAGAACACTATGGTCTGATCTACAACCAACCAGATGGCACAGTACCAGACAGCCTTTCATTTAGTCATCCATGGGGTATCCTTGAGTTGGGAGTCAATGACAGGGTGACTAACAACAGTAACAGTACAGTCTCACTTTGACAGGAAATAGAGCAACATAAGCCTTGGAATCAGACTAACTTTGTTACTTTCTCAGGTCTTCTACTTACTTGCTGTGTGACTTGGAGGTAAATTGCTTAGATTTGTTGATACTCAGCTTCGTCTTTTAGAAAAAGGGAATAATAATAGTCATCCCAGAGAGCTGTTGTGAGATTAAATGGGACAATGCATGCAAAGTAATTTATAGTCTTCACAAAGGGTGGGTATTTGTGTAGTTGTTGTTGCAACTTGAAAGCAAAATGTAAATGAACTAGTGGCCGCTATCCCCTAAAACAGATATTGCTGTTGTTGTTGAGTGCCATCGAGTCGGTTTTAACCCATATTGACCCTGTATAGGGTTTCCAAGGAGTGGCTGGTGAGCTTGACCTGCCTATCCTGCAGTTCAAACCAACTCTGCAGTCCAATGCATTAACCCACAGCGCCATACCAGGACTTCGAAACAGATATTGGTTCCTGGTTATTCACTCTCCACCAGTAAAATTAATTCAAATATAGTCTTCATGTTGAAAGCAGATTTTGAAATCGTTATTTGGTATTTTCAACAATTGTAGGACAACAAATCAAAACATAGCTGGAGGAAAACAATAACAATATAGCCACAATTGAAAATGATTATTTCAGTAACTATTTACAGATATGAACAGAGATTTTCTTTAGGGAAACCAACAACAAAAATGGAAGTTAGCTCTATTTTAACATATGACTTAATGGGGAAAATATTCTGAACCAATAAGAAAACACTGCCTACCTAACTTTAATGTTTATTTTATATTTTGATGACAATTATTTGTGGGTAGATAATACATCAAAAATACATATTTAAGCTGGGAAAAATAAGTCCTAACTTAATTTCAAAGCTTATCAACAGACTTTGTTTGGAAGTTCAATGAAAACAAATTTGTTTGGGGCTGACACTTAATATTCTACATTATAGCCTAAAGTCTAGTTTTTTAGTCAAATAACAAGCCCATTAAAATAGATGAAACAGAAATATTGACACACTCTTCACTCCACACTGCACAAATACATGGTCCAAAATCAATGCTATTTGAGTCTTGAGTTTCCATAAATCCTTTATATATTTGTAATGCTACTCAATGTTTTTCAAGAGCATTCTTAAAAATCGTGCAGGGGAAAAAAAGAAAGGGACCTAGGCAATGGATCCTAGACCTGGCCAACTTGGCTTCTCTTCACCAATGCTATAATTGCTGTTGTTGTTAAGGGCCGTCAAGTTGGTTCTGACCCACAGCGACCCTGTATAGGGTTTTCTGAGGAGCAACTGGTAAGCTTGAACTGCCGACCTTGTGGTTCAAACCAACCTTGCAGTCCAGCACATTAACCCTCAGTGCCACATCAGGACTCCTAATGTTATGATATATACACACAGAGAGTCCTAGTGTGGCCATGTGGGCTAATGTGCTAGACTGCAAAATCGCTTGGAACCACAAGGTCGGCAGTTCAAGCTCACCAGTTGCTCTTCAGAAACCCTATCCAGGGTCGCTATATTTCAGAACTGACTTAATGGTAGCATAGTGGTTACTAGTTAGGCTGCTACTCTCAAGGTCAGCAGTCTGAAACTACCAGCGGTACCGCAGGATAAAGAGTCAGAATCAACTCCAAGGCATGTAACCACCACTATATATATATATATATATGAAAAGGAGCTCTGGTAGCGTAGTGGTTACGAATTGGGCTGCTAACCTCAAGGTTGGCAGTTCAAAACTACCAGTTGTTCTGCAGGAGAATGATGAAGCTTTCTGCTTCCGTAAAGATTTACAGCCTTGGAAACCCTGTACAGGGTCACTATGAGTCGGAACTGACTCCACGGCACATAACAACAACAATAACAACAACCATATATATATAGGAAAGGTCAAATTACATCCTAAGAACAAAAGCCAAACAAAAAGCCTTGTCCTTTACTATTTCCTTCATGGGTATAAGCATTTCATTGTCCTTGTATCATCTGAATGTTTTCTCTACCTGAGATAATGATACTGTATCTTCCAGAAGAATCTGGATTTTTCTTGGCATACTTCAGATCCAGGCATTCCCAGAGGAATGTTGTTGTTAAACGCCATCGAGTCGGTTCCGACCCATAGCGACCCTGTATAGGGTTTCTTAGGAGCAGCTGGTGAGCTTGAACCCCCAACCTTGCAGTTCAAACGGCTTTGCAGTCTGTCGCATTAACCCACAGGAGGGAAATACTATTTTTTAAAGAAAAGAGTATTGTTGTTGTTGTTAAGTGCCATGGAATTGGTTTTAACTCATAGCGACCCTGTATAGGGTTTCCAAGGAGTGGTTGGTGAGCGTGAACCGTTGACTTTGTGGTTCAAACTAACCTTGCAGGCCAGCCCGTTAATCCACAGCACTACACCAAAAAGTACACTCTGTGTTTTTGTGGTTTTCAGTCTTTGGTAGGTCTCCTTATCTACACCATAGTGATTCTCTAAATATATTCTTTCCCCCAACCTACCCACTCTTAGAAGGAGCTCTGGTAGCATAGTGGTTACGAATCAGGCTGCGAGCCTCAGGGTCAGCAGTTTGAAACTACCAGCTGTTCCGCGGGAGAAAGATGAGGCTTTCTGCTCCCGTAAAGACTTATAGCCTCAGAAACCCTGTACAAGGTCGCTATGAGTCGGAATCGACTCCATGGCACATAACAACAATAACAACCCACTCTTAGAATCCACAGTCTTCTTCGAGAAACTCCTCTCCCAACTTTCTATTCTAAAGGTTCTCCCCCAACCTTTGTGTCTTTTTTTTTTTTTCCTCTCCAAATTCATTCCTGTGCTTGATCCTAACACTGGCCCTGACAGTAATTTCTCCCTGGAATTCCAGTCCCAATTCTCCAGCTACCAGTGTTACATCAGCCATGTCAATGACCTTCTGTCATTTCAAAACAAAGTTTATTTAAATTTGAACCCATTATCTTTATAGCTCTGGTAGCGTAGTGGTTACGAATCGGGCTGTGAACCGCAAGGTCAGCGGTTCAAAACTACCAGCTGTTCCGCAGGAGAAAGATGAAGCATTCTGCTCCCATAAAGATTTACAGCCTCAGAAACCCTGTACAGGGTCGCTATGAGTCGGAACCGACTCCATGGCACGTAACAACAACAACCTTATCTCCCAAACTCTCTCCCTTTTCTGTTGTCTTCTCAGTCATAGCAGCTTGAAAACGCAAATCCAGCCCTTTTTGATTCTTCCTTCATTTTCTTCTACAATGTTGTTGTTGTTAAGTATGGTAGAGTTGGTTCCCACTCATAGCGACACTGTATAGGATTTCCAAGGAGCTACTGGTGGATTTGAATTGCCGACCTTGTAGTTAGAAGTCCAGTGTTTATCTTACATACCAAGACCCCTCTTGCACTATGCTGTTGTTGTAAGTGCCGTCGAGTCAC